TATCATGGGAGAATTTTATCAGATGACTTGCTGAAATCCAGATAAATTATATTTATAATATTTTCCTGTTTCACTTGTCTAATAAGCATATCAAAAAAGGAAACTTAACTTATTTTGATTTAACTTGTTTTTAGTGAACCTATATAATTTCTCGAGATCCATCAGTTCCACTTTCTAAATACTCTTAGACCATGCATTTAGTTTATTCAGGAATTTAGTTGGGCATAGATATCACACTTAACTAACATTTTGAAAATCATCTTATCAAACTAACACTCTTCTTTTTTCTATAGTTCTATAGAAATGTTACTAGGAGAGATTTTAGTCGTTGCATTTGCAGGTTCAGTATTTGCAGGTTCAGTATTCTGGGATAAAAAATTTGAATTCAGTATAAAAGCAGAGGGGTAAATTTAAGTTCAAATAGAAGCAATCAACAAGCATTTACAACACATTTGTGTGCTAGGCATATGCTAGTACATAGTTAGGTCTTGGGGAATATGAGTACAAAGAGTTCAGCAGTTTTTATTTTTAAGGAATTTATACTCCACTGGGAGAGACAAAAAGTACACATCTAAGCATATAGAATTCATTTAAAGGGAACAAATACAAATCAGTGCAAAGGAGGGCAGGCCATTGTATTTGGGGAATTGGGAAAGGCTTCATGTTGTGCTTGAGCTTTGTCTTGAAGGAAGACAGAAGCTCCTTGAGGCGTGGGTGAACAGGGGATTGCATTACAGGAGTAGAGGGATGGCATCTGTGCACAAGCACAGATATGAGGGAGGAACAGATAGGGGCAAGTTTGGCTGGATGGCAGTTGCAGAGAACAATTAGGAGGCTATTGCAGTAATCTAGGTGAGAGGTGATAAGGGCCTGAATTAGGTAGGGTGGTAGCTGTGTGAGTGTCATGAAAGAGTCAAATGAGAGAGATCCTATGAAGGTAGGCAAAACAAGAATTGGCAACTGACTGGATTTGTGGAGTGAGGGAGAGTGAAGAGTTGAGGATACCGAGGTAATAACTAGGGAAACCTGGAAGGATGGTGGTACTTTACACAGAAATAGGAAAGTGATTAGGGTCTGAACTAAGATGGTAGATGTGATACTAGAAAGAAAGGGAGTCAAATGTTAAAAATGTTGTAGCGATAGAAATGGCAAGATTTGGCAACTGATTAAATATGTGGAGTGAGGGAGAAAGAATTTATGATGCATTGTAATGCACTCTCTCCTTTTTTCTTACAACTCCCCTCCCCCCTTTCCCGATTCCTTTAAAACTCAGCTTGAATACTACCTTTCAGGTGAGGCCTTTCTTGATCTCTTCCTACCCCCCTCCACATCCTTAACTATTATCTTAAATGTGTTTTATACTTATTTACCAGAGGTATCCAATACAATGTAAACTCCTTGAGGTCATGTGTCCTAACCTGTCTGGCACCTAATAGGGGCTTGATAAATGCCTGCTAATTGATGGACATATATTACTTCCCTGTGCCAGGGGTCCTGTCTTCCCATCTCATATTTCCAATGGCAAGCTCCTAGGGAATAGTCAGGTTGATGTCAATACATTTGTCTTTTACCTTTCTTTGTATCCTTAGGGCTTAGCACAGTAACTGGCGTGTAATAGGTGTTTAATAAATGTTAATTGACTGACTTACCTGGCTGCCCATAATTTTGAGTCTTTGTGCAAGGATTCTCATGAATTTAAAAATCTAAAGTGTTGTAGGCCATGAAAATATCATTTTGAGAAACCTAGAATGCTTCAGCTCAGGGCATATACCTTTGCTAGTTACAGGATCATAAACGTGAAGTTATCAAGGAACCATAAAGATAATCTAGTCCCACTGCTTTTACAGATGGCACAGAGGCCCCAGATAGTTACTTGGTAACATAGTTATGTAGCTGAGACTATAGCCCAAATCTCCTGACTTTCTAATACACTGTCCACATCTGATTCTCCCACCTTTCCCCCTGCCACTGCTGATACTATTTGAAATATGGTTATGATTAATTAGTAGTTACTAAGAAAAATAAATAATAGCTAGAGCCACCAATATCCAATTTACCTGGCTAGGATTTGGTAAAAAAAAACAAAAAAACAAAAAACAGCTTTAATTTCTAGAAAACAATTTTCATTTGGGTGCCTGTAAGTTTGTAGTGGCTTTTGAGTGTTTATTTTACTACTGTAGAAAAAACCCCAATGCAGTGATATAAAAACATCTAGGCCAGTGGTGGTGTTGTGCAGATAGTGCAGATAAATACAGGAGAAATAGAGGTATCCATTACAAACTGCCTATACCTGATTTTGAGAGAAAAATTAATCTTTGTAAATTGACCAGATGTTGTGGTCATTCATTCCATGTATCAGAAGCAACAGCATAATAGAATATTTATCATCTTCTTTAAGACAACAGAATCATTATTGACTTCAGAATTTATTTTTCAAGAAAAAACAAATTGAATGGAAGGCCCTGTTTTAGAAAACTAGTCTATAGACTTTTTTATACCAAAGATCACAGGTCAAGTCAGCAAACACTTAAGAGCCAAGCCCTTAAGCTCTAGAAATACAAAGAGAAAAAAAATGGTCCCTGTCCGCAAGGGGCTCACAGTCTATTGGAGGAGACAATATGCAAACAGCTATGTACAACAAGAGGAGGGTGTGTGTCTGTGTGTCTGTGTAATTGGACATAATCTCAGAAAGAAGATATTAACATTAAGAAAGAATATAGAAAGGTTTCTTCCAGAAGAGGCTATTTTAGTTCAGAATTAAAAGGGTATCAGTAGGTGGAGATGAGTAGGGAAAGCATTTCTGGGGTGGACAGCCAGTGAAAATGCCTAGTAATGTCATATGAGAGGAATAGCAAGGACAGTGTTTACAGAATCACTGAGTATCGGGGAGAGTGAGGGGTGTGAGATATATGAAGACTGGAAAAGTAGGGGTCAGATCATGGAGAGTTTTAAAAGCCAAACAGAGGATTGTATATTTGATCTTGGGTTAATTGGGAACCATGGGAGTTTGAGTAGGAGGGAGAAGGGTGATGGGGGTGGGGTCATGCTTTCACTTTAGGAAAATCAGTGATAGCTGAGTAGAAGATTTACTGGAGTGAAGGGAGACTTGAAGCAGGGAGACCAATCAGCCGACTATTGGCAATAGACCAGACATGAGGTGATAAGGGCTTGTACCAGAATGATGGCAATGTCACAGGAGAGAAGGCTCATGTAATAAAGATATTATGAGGGTAGAATTGACAAGACTTGACAGTAGATTGACTGTGAGGGGACAGGGTGGGAGAGTAGAGCCAGAAATTGAGGATAGCACCTAAGTTGTGAGCCTGGATAACTGAGAGGATGTGAGGTGGTATCTTTGATTGTAATAGGGAAATTTGGAAGATGAGAAGGTTCAATTTCGGACATAGTGAATTCACATCATCTGGGAAACATCCAGATCAAGATGTCCAGTAGGTAGTTGGAGATGTGAGACTTGAGGTCAGGAAATAGGTTAGAACTAGTCAAATAGGATCTGGAAGTTATCTGTACCTATATAGCTATAGGTATCTATCAATCAGTCAAATTGAATCCATAGCAGCTATTGAGATAAAGCAAAATAGTATATTGTAAGAAAAGAAGAGGGCCAGGACAGAGCTTTGGGAGATACCCATGGTTAGCCAGCAAAGGAGATTGAAAGGGAGTAGTCAGAGGTAGAAAGTAGAAGGACCAGGAAATATCAGTGCCACAAAAACTTAGAGGAGATTATCAAGAAGAGTGTGCTCACACATAGATTTTTGGCAAATTTTTCACCATAAATTGGCTTCTGCCCAACAATTATAGGATAATTGAGAATTGATCATTGATTTATTTGACCGTTCTTCAGTATCTCCTCTTGGAACTCCTAGATTCCCTCAAAGCTCAGCTCAAGTAGGAACATGTACATTGAACTGTCTCTCCCATCATCTGTTAATATTCACAACTTCACTTAGTTCTTTGTATTTATTTTGTGTCAACACAGTCACTTAGGCCAATGTTAAATAGATAGTCATAAATTAAAGAGATAGTCATAAATAGATAAAGAGTTGTTTTTAAATCCAGAAATGCCTGTTTTTGTATCACCAGTATATCTAGCACAGTCTCTGGTACATAGTAGGTGCTTAATATATTCATATAAATTAATTGATTGAGACTATGGTAGATTGGTTACCTGAAGTCAAAAAATTTCCTTTTGTTTTCTATTTTTTGGATGGAACCCTTATTTTGTCATCCCCACCCCCATATTGATAAAGGCAACTGAATTTTCATAGGAAGTTTGTAACTTATACTAAGCTAAATGTAAGAATAAAGTGGACTACTTTAATGAAATCATAGCCTTAAAAATATAATTTATTTATGTTAACATTCTTATACTGAGTTAAAACATGACATTGTTTTAAATATTCATGGAAACTGTAAGGCACATAGATCAGAAGTGTCCTGATTTATCAAGTGAGGAAACTGAGCCTATGATTTTAAGTAACTTATTTACAATCATAAGGTTGGTAAGCTGAGGAGCCTAGACCAGAACTCCTAATTTTTTTAAGTCCATTCCTCCTTGTTCTAGATCAGATCCGCATTTCAAAAATGTCCATAACTCCTTCCTCTTTCTTTTCATTCCATTCTAAATCTTATTATGACAGGCATACCTAGAGAGAAGCACCTTTTGTTGTTAAGGAGAAATAATTGACCTGGCATGTGTTGCTATTGCACTAAAGGATTGGTGGTAGGATTTGAAAAAAGGTTTTATCTGCAGTGATAGAAGGAACAGAGAGTCCAACTAGTGATTGTCTTTATGGAACAAAAAGTTGTTTTACAATGACTCATCAGTGATGCCTTAATGATGAGCCTGTTTGTTCTACCGCAATAGTTGTCATTGGAATAATGGATAAGATCTACCTGTCAAATGGGAATATTCTACTGTTTTCATGTAGTAAGCTTTTTATTTGACATATTCATCATAGAAGTTTGTTTGTTTTTACCAGGTTACGGGAAGTGTCAGAGAAGTTGAACAAATATAATTTAAACAGGTAAGACTTTTTAGATGCTTTTTATATTTAGAAAAATATTTTCTCTTCCATGTCAAAAAGCCACAGTAGCATGCTTTCTAGATTTCCTTAACTTAATCAGTTCATGTTCTGTTAAGTTCATGTTATACCAGTTCAAGTTTAACTAGCAGTTATGAAACATTTATTATATAGGCGTTGATCTTAGAAGTTTGGTCATTTGATTCCATGGGTCCTGCTTATACAAGTGAAGCCTGCGATGTTGTGTATATTGACTTCATCAATATTAATAATTAAAGGAGTATCTTAACTAATATATAAACATATCTTAGTTGATATACAAATTTTAGTAAGTTTGGATGCCAATTCAAGTCTTTATGCTTTTTTTCTACATACCCTTCCCTGCTCTCCTAGCTTGAAATTTATTTGCTTTTAATTTTTCAGTCACCCTCCATTGAATGTATTGGAACAGGCTACTATTAAACAGTGTGTGGTGGGACCAAATCATGCTGCATTTCTTCTTGAGGTAAATATTAATTTGTTGAAGTAAAAGTATTAAAATAATCTATGTAATTATTTAATATTATCTCCATGTTACCTAGTAAAAGTCACAATTGTCCAATAAGATTAAGCTTGTCTGGGGTCCTTCATTACTGCTCCCCACACTTTACTCAATTAAAGACATAAAATTTTAGAGCTGAAAAAGGGCCTGGAGATATGTTTCTGGCACCTCATTTTACAAATCGGGAAACTGAGGCCTAGAGAAATTAAATGATTTCCCATGGTCACATTTTTTCAGAGCTTCTTATTCCTTGTCTTTTTTTCTTTCTATGAATTTCTACAGAACTTAAAAAGAGTTTGGGATTTTTCTCCTGTAATTTCATATATGTTCATTATTTCTTAAGTACATAAGATCCTTTGGGGTTAAGGATGTTCTTTTTTGGGGAGTGGGCAGGTATTCTCACAGAGTGCTTGCTCATTTTAGGGGCCAGGATAGACCTATATTTGAAGGAATATTTATATATTGACTCTTCTGTTTTGAATACTTCATTTCTCTCTCTCTATTTTAGGATGGTAGAGTCTGCAGGATTGGTTTTTCAGTGCAGCCAGACAGATTAGAATTGGGTAAACCTGATAATAATGATGGGTAAGGCTATACATCCTTTCTACTTAATATATGTTTAAACTTTAAGTAACTTACTTTTAATAGCCTTTGTTTTTGTGTCCCCATAACTGAAAGTAAGGCATTATATCTTAACGGGTATAGTTTAATTATATTTTTCATTTTCAACAAAATTATGCATCTATCATAAAATTAAAATCAGCAGAGAATCGCTTGATTTAGTCGGAATAACTTTCTGGATGGAATGCTTTGAAGTTTGTAATAGGCTCTAAAATAGACTTTTTTTTGATATGAGTCTATTTTGGCTGGATTGACTTTGTAGGTCACATTAAAATTTTGCCTTAATGTTTATAACAACAAATAGAACTGATTTGACTATAGTTGGACTGCTTAAATGAACCCTAAATTTGGGTGCTCAAAAACTGGTGGATGATGTCTTGTTTATTATTTTGCTAAATATCAGACAATTAACCTTAAATGTTATGTTTAACATTTATTTGTAATTACATTGTTGAACATTTTTGCAGTGAGAACAGAATGGATTGCTAATGTGAATAAAACATGTCAACTCTGTCTTCTAATTTCCAGTTAAAATTTTAGTATTTTAGTTAGATTAGCATGGAATATTCCCCAAGGGTGTTGCTTAAGCTGGTATGTTACCAGAATAAGTCCCTGAGAATTGAGACCTGGGATTCCAGGTTTTGTTCCTAATCCTTTTGGGATTGTTTTGTGACTGATCTACCATCTTTTATTTTCAGTTCAAAGTTGAGCAGTGGCTCAGGGGCAGGAAGGACATCCAGGCCAGGCAGGACTAGTGACTCCCCATGGTTTCTGTCTGGTTCTGAAACTCTGGGCAGACTGGCAGGCAACACCCTTGGGTAAGTTTTGATAGGATTGAGGCTGCTTTTTGTTTGTATCATAGTCTTGTATGTGTCTATACACATATAAACTGTTTTACTCTATGCATAAAGAACACTTATAGCCAGTAGTGGTCTAACTAGGTATTGAGGAAACTTACTGATTAGAGGTCTAGGCAGGGATCTCATGTTTAATTATTCTGGATTATTTAGATATAAACTAACAGTATATGTAGAATTGCTATTAATCAGGCTGGTCAACAGTATTGTCAGTATTATTAAAACTTTTAAAAGGGATCAGTGTTTGACTGATGACCAAAAGGATGATTTTAAGGCATAATGATAAGATCTGTGTGCCCACCATTTTAACTTTTTAATATGGGAATCAAGCCAGTCATTAATTTCTTCTTATTATCCAAATCTTATAGCCATTTTGGATTTGTTAATTGAGCATTCTAAAATTCTACAGCTGATATTCTGTTATTTCCACAATTTGAACCACAAATAAAGGAAAGTTTTACCTGTTTTCTTTTTCCTTTAACAGATTCACTCTAACCATCTGTCTTATATACAATTTCATTTTCAGATGCCATATAGTAGCTCCTTCTATTTTTATTGAAGGTTTAAACTATAGGCAAAATAACAAGTGACCCCAGTATCTTAGCTCTGTCATATATAAACCAATATTAATAATCTTTTATTAACATTATTTCTATACATAAAGCTTTCCTCGTCAGGTCATTTTCATTTGAAACATCTTTCCTTGATGAAAGATAAAACTATCCAAATTAGAAAATAAAGACAGATGGATTTATAATAAAGAATTTTAGTTAAATATGCTAAACATTTGTTAAATAATATTCTTAAAAATGCAGTAAAACATTTAAAAATTACAATAATTCTGGAAAACTGAAATAAATTTTATAATTTTGTGGCTTGAAGATAAATTATTTAATAGTTTTTATGGGTAAATGAATTATAGAGGAAATGATCAGAAATATTGAGTGATGAGGAATTTAATGAATTATGAATAATATAGGAAGAAAAAAGACCTTGATAAAGAATCAGATAAGATTGGAATTAAGATTTAAATGAGATAGGTCAAAGAAAATTGCTACTTTGGGAAACAGATGGTGGGCTAAAGAGGTTAAAGTGAGAGTGTGAAAAGTAACATATGGATTCAAAGATGATTAAAATATATGATTGAATGTTGTGTTTATGTAAAATGATAGAAGAAAAGTGAGTATTGAATATGTTTAAAACACAGCTAATGTTGATGTGATATTTTGAACATGGTTTTTCTCCTTCTGCTTAGCACAGTGCCTTACACATGATAGATGTGACTTCTGCCAGATCTTAATGAGAGGCTTTTATTTAAGTTTTAACTAAAAATGTTGAGTGCTTTTTTGCCTTCTCAGTAATCCTGAATGACTTTAGGTACACTTTAATTTAAGTGAATATGACCTCTTTTACCGACATCTCTTTTTTGAGGAATAAAGCATTCTCTAAGCTTTTGTGAAACTCCTTTTTAAAGGTCTTAAGGAAAGCATAGAAGGTAAAGTATTATACAAATATATTGTACATGTAAACTCACTTTTAGAAATATTTGGACAATTGCCTTTTAAGAGGATATTTCTTAATTTCTGCCAAAAATTATGAATTGCCACAATTTTTTTTTACATAGGGAAATTGTCAAACTTAATCTCCTTAGCATGGTGGCATTTGTCCCCGTTTTGCTAATTAAAAAAAAAAGACATTTGTTGAATGAACTTAATGTCTTATTTTCATAGATATTATTTTGGAAAGATTCAAATTATGATTTTTTCTACTTTCAAAGAATATAACTAATTTAGTAATATAATCATAACTAATAAGATCTATATCACCCATAACTTAGCGTAGGACTAATTCTGAAGAAATGAAAAGCCCTTGGGAAGATAGTTTTTCAAAATTTTGCATCCACTACAACCCATAGTAGAAGTGTGTTTTTTTGGGTGGGGTTTTTTTTTGTTTGTTTTTTGTTTTTTTGCCTTTTTTTTGGTGAGGCATTTGGGGTTAGGTGACTTGCCCAGGATCACACAGCTAGTAAGTGTCAACTGTCTGAGGTCAGATTTGAACTCAGGTCCTCCCGATTCCAAGGCTGGAGCTCTATCCACTGCTCTACCTAGCTGTCCCCGTAGTAGAAGTTTTAACCCTTACTGAATTGGATTAGTCATATATTTCTTGTTTTCCTAAATTTGATAATAAAATTGTAATCATCTAGTAAAAAATATTTTTGTGTTCTACTTTCCTTTGCTCTGTAGCCTCATTTCCTACTCTGTCCTCTTACAGTCCCATCTAGACCTAAGCTTGTGATCCTCTGGTCCAAAGTAGTTCTTACTGCTGGTAATTCATCTGTACAAAGTGCTCAGCTGGTGGTGCAATAGATAGAGTGCTGGGCCTGAGTCAGGAAGACTTGAGTTCAAATGACCCTGGACAAGTTACTTAGAGGTTGCCTCAGTTTATTCAGCTGTAAAATAGGGATAATAATAACACCTACCTCTCAGGGTTATTGTGAGGATCAATAATCTTTGTAAAATAATATTAGATAATATATATATAGATAATATTTGTGTAAAAAAAAAAGTACCTGGGAGGTAGTAGGTACTATATAAATGCTTATTCCCTCCCTTGAATTGGAACTTAATTTGGTCCTATAAATGATTAATTTTGGCTTTTGTGGAAGAGAAAACAATAGAATTACATTCATGATGAAATTGTTTATGCTACAATTGATAATTATATAGGGAAACCAAGGGAATGTCTACAGTTATAATAAATGTATATTGTTATAGTCATTTCTTATCTCAGAAAGTTGTCTCTTAGTAAGTAACTTTAAAGAAATATATTTACATACCTGAACTAGGAAAATTCAAGAAAGTGCTTTGATAACTTTCAAATGACATGAATGTTCGCTCTTGACCTTGTTATTGTGACAGTAATCAGTGCCACCTTCTACTATGAATCAGTTAAGCAACAGACACTTCCTAATGGCCAGCCTTGTGTCAAGCTCTGTACTAGTTGCTGAATATACAAAGCTAATTCTGTCCTAGAAGCATTTATGGTTTTTTGTGGAGACAATATGCATATAAATACATATTGCCAAAACAAATACAAGACCTACCTGAAAGTGTTCAGCCCAGGTACTTCTATCTTGAGGTTCTAAAGATGAGTATCATTTATTGAAGAACTTGGACCTCCTTAGTGTCATTCTGTATCCAGAGATGACATAAGAGAGTCATAGGAGAGGTGGAAGATGTTGAAGCAGCATCAGAGCATTCATATAATTCCAAAGATGAGGACTTTTGTATATTGGTAATTTTTTCATGGATAATTGCTGTTTTGATGGATTATTTTTATGGCTACCTAAGTAATAAAAATTTATGTGTTTTCTTGTTACCTTTCATTTTTTTTTCTCTTGTTCTCGCTGAATGGCAGATCTATTTAGAAATATTTATTGATGGAAGGGATCTTATCACAGAACATTCCATTTCACAGAAGAGGAAGCTGAGGGCCAGAGAGATGCCAGCCCTTGCCCACAATCACACAGGCAGGAGGTGGCAGAACTGGCACCTCAGCCTGCAATCTTGGGATCTAGAGTCAGTGCTCTTCCTCACTTTATCTTGCTTCTTTCCCAATAAAATATTTTTTATTTAGCAAATTGTCATTAAGTGCTTGCTCCATGAAAAGTATTCAGGAAACAAATTTAAAATGGATGATCTCAGTTTTCAAGAAGCTTATCTAGTAGCTGACAGTTCTATGCCTTGTCATTTCATAGTTTATAAAGTAATTTCAAATTCTTAGTATGCTATAAACTTATCATGCATATATAATGTTATAAGCATCCATAGATCAGAGAGGGTAAAACAAAGATGGTGCATTAGGAGGAAGCAGTGCAGTGAACCCCCCCACCCCCCAAAAAAAGCAGATTTAGAGCACTAGACTGACTCTTAATTGGGGAAATTCAAGAAGTTACAGTGAGTTATTTTTCCAACCTAAGTTAGCATAGGGATTCAGACAAGGAAGTCTGCAAACACTGGGGATGGGCCGTGATGCAGAGTGTGACACATGTAGAGCATACTGACATCCAAGAAGAGGCTGAGAACCAGGTCAGGAAGGGAGTCCTAGACCCACACCAGATCACTGTTACAGGGACAGGTACAAACTGACAGCTTTGTTGCCCACTGCCTAGTTCTGGGTCATACATCCCCGGCACATTGACAAAAGGACCTGTACTGCTGCACCCCAAACTAGTCTCAGGCCCTAGAGGTTGTACTGTGAGAAGAACAAGTTCAAAAGCAAGCATTCACAGTATGGCCCACCCCTCAAGAGTAGAGTGAAGTATTAATCCAAGACACCAGCCCAATCTGAAATTTGCGGAGAAATAACCAGGCAGGAAACTCAAACAAAAGTTGAGTTTATAGTTCTATCACTGAACCAGAACTTTCCAGATGACTGATGGTGGCTGAGTCCAGCAGCAACTACTGTTGCTCAGACCCAAATTCAGGTGAAGAACTTACAGAGCTTAGACTGGGGTAGGGTGGGGGAAACAATCTGACTTTTCCCTGGATCAGACCACCCTTTAGGAGTACTGAAATATCAAGTCCAAAAGTCAAGAATGAGATTGAAAGATTGAGCGAACAGAAAAAGAATTGTGTCATAAAGCTGTTTTTGGTGATAGGAATGCTCAAGACACAAAGTTGGAACATGAGAATGGCCTCAAAACATCTACAAGCAAAAACTTGTTGAAAAGCACAGCTTGAGTCCAAGTTCAACTGGAAGACATGAATCAAGAATTTTTTAAAAAGAATTTAAAATATAACTATGGAAAAAAAGAAATGGAAAGGGAATTAATAGCTTGGCACAAAAGGTACAAAACCTTGCCCAAGTACAAAAAACTCCCTGGCAATTAGAACAGACCAATTAAAAGCCATTGAGACAACAAGAAATACTAAAACAAAGCCAAAAGACTAAAAAAATTA